CCCCCGCCCGCCTCCCCCCAGCCCGATTGCCGCTTCCCCGGGAAAGAACCACCCCCCCCGGCCCGGGGTACGCCGTTACCCCCCGCCCCACACGCACCCCTCGCCCGGGGGAAGCCTCGCCGCTAGCTCCTGCTCCTCCCGCCGGGCTGAGGCCGAGCACAACTCAGCTCCCCGCTGCTGCCAGCAGCCTCCATCCGCTCTGCCCCGCGCCCGGCCCGGCCCCGCGCAGGATCCGCAGGCGCTGCGCACCCCACCGCGGGGGAAGCACGGAGCCGCCTGCCCCGTCCTCCTCCCTTCCCCGGGGCACGGCTACCTTTTGCCGCCTATTTATACCGAAAATCCCCCTCCCTCCCCGCAGCCCTTTCTTTTTTGCGTGCAGCGAGTAAAAATAAATACTATTAATAGCCCTCGCATGTATGCGGAGCCGCTGATGAAACGAGAAGGCAGCGACAAGGGACAGCCTGCGTTAACTTTCTCCTTTCTCCCTCCCTTCCCCTCCTTTGGAAAGGACTGGTGCAAGATGCTCCCAGCCAGCTGCAAACAGCTGCAGGATCCTGCCCTGCTCGGCGCGGGTCCCCTTGCAGAGCAAATCCTGTCCCCCCGGGCCGGGCAGCTGAGGTGTGAAGGTCAGGGGGGGCTCTGCCCGCTGCCCGCTGCCGGCCCCCGCTGCCCGCATCGCCCCTGCCCGCATGCAGCCCAGCCCGGGGAGCTGCCGCCGCCACCGCCGGGGGTTGTTGTTTTACCTGGCTTTAATGCTCGAGGATCAGCTTGCTTCCCCCCGTTTTTATTTTTTTCCTTCCCAGTCCTTCCAGTCCTTGGTGTTAAGCCTCATTCCTCGGTGAGCATTGCTAATAACGTTGGCAGATAGCTGGCATCGACTTGCACTTAATATTCCTGCCCCATTGGATCTGCTGATAAATCTCAACTCTGACGTCAAAGTCTTCACTTATATTCATGATCCAAGTCTGTGAATCAGAGCCGCTGTGATCAGAATAACAACAAGGCTGGCTCCCTGCTCCACATCCACATCCACACCCGCAGGCACGAGGGGGGGGCGCGCACCCGCGCGCACCCATGCACGCACCCATGCACGCACCCGCCCCGCTGTTCATTCATGAGCTCTCCCGCCACCCCGGCGCACCTCCCCAAGGTCGGGGCCCTCCGCACCTGCGTTTTGCGGATGCAGCTTGGGTGCCAGCCAGGCCCCGGCGGCTCGCAAAGGCGGCCGGGCAAGGTTTATTTTTACCTCTTGTGCCGAGGAACGTGGGGATCTGAAGGGGGGGGGCGTGATTCGGCGTGGCGTGGCTTGTCTGCCCCGCTCTTCAAGGGCAATGCCCAGGGACAGCGGCACCGGTCCCCCTCCACCCCCAGGAGCCAGCAGCTGGGGGTCCTCGGGGGCCCCCGTGCAACCAGGCTGGGGCAGATGCATCCCCCCACGGCGGAGACGTCGCACCCCAGGGCCTTCGCCCCGCACGGGCTTCCCTCCAGCCAGTGTAAAAGCTGGGATGAGAAGGAGCAAGACCTGGGAGCTTCGTGTGGGCTGCCCAGCCCGGCGCCCACCCTCCCGCGTGGGGGGACCTGCACGAGGCGGGTGGGTGTGGGGGTCTGTCCCCCTCCCAGCACCACAGCACCCACCCACCCCCAAGGCTTCCTTCCCGACTATTTGGGAAAGGATCTGCCTGGAAAGGAACAAATCCCAAAGACACGATTATTTTTCTGGCCACAAATGGCTCCATGATTCAGAAAGGGAGCAGGATCTTCAAAGCAGGGATGCTCAGCTCCCGGATCGGCAATATTTCAGCTACACCTTCTCCTCCCTTTCCTACTGGTTTCATAACACTCCAGCTTTACTCCTGCATCCCCCTCTCTCTTCCAGGCTGTAGCTGTGCAATGCAGCGAGCTCGATGCCGGGAAGGATTTCCAGCTCCTGATGTGCAAAGATATTTAGGTGAATATCGGTGGTTTGGGCTGAACCCGATCGCCCCAGTTAGGAGCATCTGGGTTCTTAATCAGGCCAAGCCCCATCCCAGGGGACTTGAATCGTCATCTACCTGGGGCTGCCAGCCGCGTGACTGAGCGCCGTTGTGTGCCGAGTGACATGAGCAGCATGCAAAGGGGCGGAGGGAATCTGAGCGAAGAGCTGAATGAATTCGCTCCCGCTCCCAGTAATTACGCACTGCCTGGGAAAGGGGGGGCGGGTGAGGAGCTTTGATTGACTCCCATCGGCAGGTGGCTCTGCCCGGTGGGGGGTGGTGAGGGAGCTTTGATGGACCCCCCCCGGCAGCTGCCTCTGCCAGGAGGTGGGTGCAGAAGACGGGCTGGCCGGTTGTGGCAGAGGGGATGTGACGGCCGTGCGAGGTGCTCTGCAGGGACACAGCCCACCCAGGGCCCCCAGGCTGAGACGAGTGTGGGCGGCCTCAGCCCAGCCAGGCTGACGGGCCACGAGCGGCCGCAGGTCTGAGCAGGGACGGCCCTGCTGTCCCCACTGGATCTGCCGGGGGCTGCCGCAGCTCCGGGACCCAGGTCCAGCGGGCACTGAGGCTGACCAGGAATGGGCATCCCTCCAGTAATTGCCCCCAGACACCCAGTTGCCCCAGTCTGGTCCTTGGATCCTCTCACCTGGAGCTGCCTCTCGCACAGACACGCACACCCCAACGGGTCTCAGTGACCCCAAACCCCATGGTCTCGCCGGTGGTTGGCTGGGACCTTCCGCTCCCTCCAGCATCCAGCCCCTCCTGCAGTCTCACTCGCAGAGACCCACTCAAACACCCAGCTCTCTCGGTTGATCCCCAGGCCCTACAGAGGTCCTGGTAGTCCCAAACCACCCTGCTGCCTCCCGTCCCCACCTTCAGTTCCTCCCCTCAACGTCCCATCGCAAGTTTGTCGCAGTCCCAGGATGCTTTCCCCGCATCCCGCCGCGAGTGCCAGACCCCGCAGCTATTATCCCTCTCCACTCAGGAGGTGCCCCCTTTCCGTGCACTCATCGCAGTGGGCTTCTTGCCCAGCAATCAGGGCTGCTTGCCCTCCTGCTCCACGTCTCAGATGAGGTTTTTTGGGGTTTCCCCATGTGCAAGGGGGTGCGCCAGGCTGGCAGCACACTGGGAAGCACTGGCAGAAACCTGAAGCTTTTCCTCCTTTTCCCCCATGCCGCAGCTGGGCCTCTGCCCAGATCCTGCAGCCAGCTGAACCTCAGCAGGTGAAACGCTGCTGCTGCCCCACTGCACAAAGCAGCCCCGCACCTGGGTACCGTGGCCCCAGGGCTGGCCGGTGGAGACCGCGTCCCCGTGCGGGGTCTTTCCTCCGGGTGGCAACAGGGGCTGGAAGAGGTCTCAGGGCTGTGCCAACACACCTCCAGCCTCCTCTGCCTTCGGTCCCATACAGAGGAGGACATAAACCAGCTGATGTGCTGGCCACCCAACTGTGTACCCAGTTATTTCCCTGGCTGGGAGTCATTTTAGGATGCCCCTAGGCCCTCTCAGTGGTGCTGCTGCCTGCGCTGGGCACTGAGCGGCAGCGGAGGGGCCGCCAGGATTCGGCAGCTGCACGTCTGTCTGTCTGTCTGAACAGGGAAATTGTCTGTGCTGGGGTAGCCGGGGCTGCTGGGGCACCCCAATAATGTCATAGTTTCCTTAAGGTGCCAGTGACAAAAATGACATTATCTGGCCATTTTTAAACCAAAGCACACCACCTCCAGATCTGCCCCGAATGCAAGCGGCGTTGGATCTGTGAGGATGCACTACTGACCATCATTTTGTAATATTTGACCATCTGCCTTTTATAGTTGCCTATAATGTTCTGAGCTTCCTCGGTATCTGCAAAAACATTTTGATGATATATTAAGTATGCTTTATCTATATTCAAATTACAGACTCAATAGCAAGGAGTAAAAATCAAACTAATCAAAGACACCAGCAAAAGCCTGACACTGTAATTACACAGCGAGAGGCCACCAGCCTCAGCTGGGAACACCGTTCGGCGAGGAGAAGGCTTTCCCTTGTCATTTCCCACCTTCATTTCTCATCTTCCTCCTTGGCTTTTGGGCCTTGGGAGGAAGATCAACGCTAAACACCACGCACAGTCCTCCCCCGGCGCTGCCGCGTGGGGACACGGGGTGCTGCCAGCCCACAGCAGGGCTGGACCTGGGTCTCATCCTGCCTTAGAAATTGGGGCTTTTTGGTTAACACCCAAGTGGCTGGCGATGTGGCTGCCTGGCGAGCAGGAGATGAACTCGGGAGCCGCTGAATCTCTGTCCCTGTCTCTGACTTGCTTCACTGCAGCTATTTCTATAGCCAGGTCTTTGTGGTGCTTCAGTGGCCCCAGGAGGGAGCTAACGAGCGCCTGGGTGGGTTGCGGGTAACCAAAGCTTGCACGAGGGCTGCTGTTTAACAGACGTAACGGGTGGTACGGAGCTCACCACAAGGAATAACTACGATGCCAATAACCTGCAAAAGCGGACGGACTGGCAGCCTTTTTGCCACTGTGTGGTGGTTTTGCAACCAGCAACCAA